ATGTTGGAAACCATATGATCAGATTTACCTGTGCTATTTCTGGGTTGGGTGGTCAGAAATGTTGCCTAAAGATTTTCATTTCTTTCTTCCTGCAACCTCTTAAGTGTAGATACCTTTACATCTGATGAGCCAGATTCACTGTGTACCTTCTAGAACAGGGGTGGGCAAACTTTTTGGCCTGAGGGCCACATCAGGGTTGCAAAATTGTATGGAGGACTGGGTAGGAAAGGCTGTGCCTCCCCAAAGAGCCTGGCCCCCCGCCCCCATCCACCCCTCCCACTTCCTGCCCCCTGACTGCCCCCGTCAGAACCCCGACCCATCCAACCCCCCCTGCTCCTTGTCCCCAGATCGCCCCCTCCTGGGACACCCCACCCCTTATCCAACCCCCCTGTCCCCTGACTGCCCCACCCCTATCCACTGCCCCCCCCAGTACCCCAACCCCTATCCACACACCCCCTGTTCCCCATCCCCTGACTGTCCCAACCCCTATCCACACACCCCCCCCCCCGTCAGGCCCCCCCGGGACTCCCACGCATATCCAACCCTCCCCTCCCCGTTCCCAGACCGCCCCCCTCCCAAACCTCCGCCCCATCCAACTGCACCCTGCCTCCTGACTGCTCCCCGGGAACCCCTGCCCCATATACAACCTCCCTGCTTCCCTCCCCCTTATCATGCTGCTCAGAACAGTAGGAGCTCGCCGCCATGCTGCCGAGCAGGAGTGGTGGGCCAGAGCACTGGCAGCGAGGTGAGGCTGCGGGGGAGGGGCCAGTGGCTAGCCTTCCCGGCCGGGAGCTCAGGAGCTGGGCAGGACGGTCCCGCAGGCTGGATGTGACCCGCAGGCCGTAGTTTGCCCATCACTGTTCTAGAATGACTTTACAGGTCCAGACATACTTACTCCCTTTTCTTTTCACTTTTGTGTGAATCATAATTTCCTGTTTTTAACTGTTCCATTAACCCACATGAATGTGTGGGCAAATTACTGTGGATGGGACTTCAGGATATTGATGTTCTTTAACTACTGGGTACTAATTACTACTGGGTTATTTAGGATACACACAGAGTACTGTAAATCAGTTTGGCTTTTGTAGATGCTGTTGTAATTTTGCAGATTTTCACTGGTGTCTAGTTCACTTCTTGTCAGTCTGGATATAAATAAGTTTTAAAGTTACCAAATTTTTATTCAAGTTGTGACATGGTTCTCTCCACTCTTCATATTCACACACTATGGTAAACACATGATTCTTAACTATGCATGTGTTTGACTTTGCTTGTTATCAAGGCTCAAATATGAATGTTTTACCAGGCATGTATGGGGCAATAATGTCTTCACAGCAGTAACCAAGTCTAGGCTTTTAAAACCAGCCTGCGACTTCCTGCTTAACCATAGCAAGCCTCATTATGCCACTTCAGTGCATGTTTTGCTGGAGAGTAGAAATCTTGTGCTAGTTATTACTAGACTACTTATCTGAAATGGAGAGATCATGAGCAAGCAAAGAATATCCAAGCGCATCTTGACTTGACAAATCAAAATCTGAAACTGTCAGTATGACCTGGATCAGTATCCCCCATTGCCAAGGAAAAAAGGAGGCAGTCAAAATCTGGTATTGCCATGTACAAGAGAACCAGAGTCCTGGCAACTGCTTGGATCACGTACATTTTTTTACAAAAACAGTAGAAGTTTCACAGCACCAGACTGGCATTTTGGTCCACTTCATAGTTGAAAGCTTTGTGATAACTACAACATATGGAAGATGAGATCAGAGGAAAAGAAAGAGGTCTTTGGCCATGACAGGTAGTGTGGTAGGTAGTTTAATCTTTAATTTGATGCTGTGGGAAGGGAGTTCAGGAAATAGAATGAGGAGGGGAAAACAAGTATTTTGCATTGGATTTTACATGTTTGTTGGTAGGACTACTAAGGGGGACTTGCCTGCAAGACTCGTTGTTGATACTGGGCTGATAACCTCCACTCTCCATGAAATTCTTAAAAAGAAAAGGAGTACTTGTGGCACCTTAGAGACTAACCAATTTATTTGAGCATGAGCTTTCGTGAGCTACAGCTCACTTCATCAGATGCATACCGTGGAAACTGCAGCAGACTTTATATACACACAGAGAATATGAAACAATACCTCCTCCCACCCCACTGTCCTGCTGGTAATAGCTTATCTAAAGTGATCAACAGGTGGGCCTGGATCTATGCAGGAAATAGCCCGACTTGATTATGTAAAGAGTTGTCACTTTGGATGGGCTAGCACCAGCAGGAGAGTGAATTTGTGTGGGGGGGTGGAGGGTGAGAAAACCTGGATTTGTGCTGGAAATGGCCCACCTGTTGATCACTTTAGATAAGCTATTACCAGCAGGACAGTGGGGTGGGAGGAGGTATTGTTTCATATTCTCTGTGTGTATATAAAGTCTGCTGCAGTTTCCACGGTATACATCTGATGAAGTGAGCTGTAGCTCACGAAAGCTCATGCTCAAATAAATTGGTTAGTCTCTAAGGTGCCACAAGTACTCCTTCTCTTTTTGCGAATACAGACTAACACGGCTGTTCCTCTGAAACCTGTCATGAAATTCTTGTCACTGCCATTGTTATACTGGCAGTGGTGATGGGTGATGTCAAAAAAAATCTGTTTGTTAAATTCATCTGGAACTACAACCCTGCTAATATTGTAAAACAAGATCCCCAGTCCTGATCCCTAAACAGTGACAATGATTTCCTGCCTTACTGATTTGATGCACTTGCCAGCGTTGCCTTTGGGAATTGTGGAGATATATGTAGGATATATTACATTCTGTGTGTTGATATAGCCACATGACAACATCCAAACACTACACATGAAAAAAGTACAAACATTGATAGTAATATATTTCATTTATCTGAGTAGCTTCAATACAGTATATAAAAGTAGTAGCCCACACTGCTGTATTGAAGCATCCAGTAATCCCAAGACCATTTGCTGCTTGGTAAAGTAAAGATAAACTCATCTTGCTTTGGATCAGTCTTTAAGCTGTTGCAGAGCCCATACTGAATCTCAGACCTCTACTCTTTAGTTCATGCATCAAACTAATCTTAAAAGCCTGCTTGCCACTGGTAGAGGTAATTCACTGTTCTGGCCCATCAGTCTTAGGGCATGAACAGTTGTCAAAGCATTTAGTAGGGTGCCAGGTTGTAAATACCCAATTTTGATGGCAGTGGACCTAACTCTGGTAAATGATGTAGAAGAAGCTCCACAAGTTAGGGTACTAGATGACTTGAGAAAATGGCAAAGAATTTCAAGCCTTTTCCTCTTAGCTTGATTACAGAACAATAGTGGAACAGCTGTTCGTTTGCTGATGTGAAATAAGTTGGTGGTCTAACTTCTAGTGGCCAGGTATCCACATAACAATGTGTAATGTTTGTTGGTAGTCTTAACATGAATAATTCAATTTTGTATTAAAAAATATAGAGAATTAGACTTTGAACAATAACAAGCTAACTATTAAGAATACTGACAGTATGAATGTCTGATTTGACTGTTAAAAATATCAGACACTAAAAGTAGACGTAGCAAATTTGCACAAGGGACATGGATGCCCATTAGAATTATAAACCTGTGAATTAGCAAATGAAGAAAAGAATGCTTACCACATTTTATTTAGATTTTATAGTTCAGAATATTCTAGTAGGGCAGTATATTTTATAAATATAGAAGTCATAGTAATATTAAATCTTACTCTAGCATCTGCCATTAACTCTTTGAGATGGGAGAGAGCGCCTTCTTTATACAACGTATAACAGTGTGTAGATTAGCAAGGTTCCAATGAAACTGTTCCCTCAAGAAGAAAATATAATACCACGTGAAAAAAGCTCTACATTAATCTAATTTTAATTGTCAAAGGTGATCTGTAGTACAGTATCTCATTCCAACTGTGAGGATGCCTTGCCTGTTGCCAATACCATCACACTTGGAAATTACTCACAGCAGGGATTGAGAGAGTGAGTGAATTTATACCCTCCATCCATGGACTAAAAAGCATCAACTTCATAATTCACTTTGCACTATCTATGACTCTACAATGCTAAGTCTTACTTCACCTGCACCTCTGCATATTATTGCTGTGTTGTTGGATGGACAAAACAGAATTTCTTATGTTGTTGGCAGGCCACTTAATAAAAATATATTTTAAAACCATTTCCTTTTGCATTTCAATATCAAAACCAGCAGCTAAATTTGTCTTCCTTTTTTGGTTGGGAGAGAGAATGTTAAAAAGTTTGTCTTGTTCAAGCCCTAATAATGAGTCAGATTTAATATTTAGATTCTTGTAAGGTAATCCATGGTTAATAAGCACTGAAATCATATCTTCTGGACCGAAATTTCCGTCCTCCCCCCACCCCCCAGTCATGAAGGAAGAAGTATGCACCTCAGCATCTGTTACACACAAGTTGGTTTGAAGAATAGGGTATAAGGGAATATTTGACTGACCAAATTCCAAATGTAGCAGAAAGACCATTTTACTGGAGCTGGTCAAAAAATGCCCGTTTTTCACAGGAAATTTTGTGAATATATTAATTGAATTGTATTTGCACATCGGATATTAGCAACAATTCATGTTTAAATGATTACTAGTAAGAATTAAGCAGTTAATTTTGCTGTACAGTTAAAACCAGATTGACTGACTAAAAAGGCCTGCTCCCAAGAGGAGAGAATTAATTTTCATTGTTTAGGCATCCGGTATTCTGGATTGGGGACCCCCCAACTCCTTTGAATTTGTCCAAGTCACAGGTTTACTGGCAAGAATGGTATGAATAGCTTTTGCACTTACTCCTGAAAGCCAAGATGAAGGTTTAAGATCTTTTTAAGAATGCACTAGACTTTTGGATTCTCTCAGGGAATCAACACTCAACACAGCACTAACAGATAAGTGATTAATTTTTAACTACCATATATTTTATGATGATTAGCAAATATTAGATATAAACTTTATATTATGATTTATAATGTCTGTTGTCTTCTTTCTAGATACAAAAGTTCCAGTTCAGGATAGGTAAGCACTCTTCTCTTTTCTCAATAGCAGTACCAGTTTCACAGAACATAACTTTGCTTAGTTGCTCAGGTCTTCCACCCCCACGGTCCCTCCAAAGTTTACTATACTCCTTCATGCAAATAATTAGTAAATATTTTTCATTGCAATGAGAATATGCCATCTATATTATATTTGAATTAATAAATTGAGTAAATATCTCAGCACATTAAGTTCCTTTATAATATTTCTCTCTCATGTCTCAGAAACGTTTTATGTTTCTGTTGACAGACTGATTTCTGTTGTAGATACCAGGAATGAGTTTTGTCCTCATCCATAACGGGTTCAGAACAGTCTTTTAATGCATGGGTATGTTGTACCTAAAAGTCCACTGTTTTTTTTAATGCAACTTTCTCCTTTAATTTGCAGCCTTCCGGTCTGATGTTTTCTTACCACTTCATGCCTCATCCTGTAAGAGTAGCCTATCCGGATCCTTTGGTTCCTGTTTCTGCCTGTGTCAAGATTTTCTTTGGTTCTGTTTCCCCACATTCCCAAAGATCTCTTCTGCATCTTTTAGGTTTTGACTACTTATATTTTGCTCTTCACTTGTTTTCCCAAGTTTTATTGTGGCTCCATCAATGGTCTCCCATGTAGCACAGGCAGTTCTGATGTTCCTTTGCAGTGAAAAATTTTCCTTCATGGAAGCTTCCCTGGAGTACGAGTCGCACTTCTTAAATTGTTTTCCTGGACCTAATTATCCCTATTTAAATTTTTATTCCAGTTCTTTACAGTATAAGCTGTAAATAGACATTTAGGGAGAAAACGAAGGGTACATGTTTAACTGTTCTATAAAAATTAGATGGGCACAGAATACTTTCTAAGAAGACAGAGTAGGGATAAATAGCAAATATATTGCTACAAAAAGGACTTCTCTTAAAGGAGGAAACTTAGTATTTGTGGGATGTTTTGATTTACCCCTTCCTCCTATTATTGACATGCAGTCACATTCCCAAGCCACTTGTAGGATTTCTTTTTCATGAAGCAATTTTTTTTAGCCTGTGAGTGATCTTAAGTAGCCATTCTCTGCCAGAGTGCTGAACTGGTTGACCCTTCCCAATCTACAGTATTAAAGAAGCACTGTCATCTTAAATTTTTTAAGTAAACTAACTTTACATTTATTCCATTTTCTGGTAGAGAGTTCTTTAAAAACGCTGTCCTGAAATTATTTTTTACAATCCCTTAAGTTTTTGTATAGGGTTTTGTGTTTTTTTTTCTTTTTTTTGTTCCCTAGTTTTTGTTAAAGCTCTTTACAGTTATCCAGATTCTCTCCTGCTAACTGACTACTGAAAAACACTGCACATGAGTGCTCAAATGCATGAAGTATACAAACTGAAAAAAAGTAACTTTTGATTTAGTAATCTTTTGTGTTCTTGTTACAGTAGTTACATAATTTGTAAAAAGAAAAGGAGTACTTGTGGCACCTTAGAGACTAACCAATTATTTGAGCATAAGCTTTCGTGAGCTACAGCTCACTTCATCGGATGCATCACAAAAGCTCACGAAAGCTTATGCTCAAATAAATTGGTTAGTCTCTAAGGTGCCACAAGTACTCTTTTCTTTTTGCGAATACAGACTAACACGGCTGTTACTCTGAAACCTATAATTTGTAAATATTTTTAAGTTGAACATTTCTAAGATTGTTATAGCAGATTTAATTTTTTTAAAATTCTTAGTTTTGTATTCCAGTCTCTCACTCTGGTGTTACATAAGTAGTAATACTTTGATGTGTTTAAATCCCAGTATTTTAAGACATTTCCAAACTTCTAGGGAAGAGAATAACAATTTGTGTGCGTTATTTCTCCTATGAATGGATTTTTTGTGTGTATGTGGAGGATGTGGGTGGGGCCTGTTCTGGTACTATCCCATTGTTCAGCAATGTAAGGTTCTTCATGTTAATACATTATAAGGCCATGTATTCCTTTTTGTGAATCGAAAATAAAATTATAAAGCACCTATTGTGTGAAATTTGAATCATTTTAATTTATTTTAATATAACCTGTCATAAGCACTTGCACAAGTAGCATGTAAAATGTGACTTAATGTTTAGGATATAGGTTTGGGGTTACTAGTCGCTACAAACCTCTTCTTGATGGCTGATATTTTCCTGGAAATAATGTTGCTATCCTTAACTGTTAAAAGTTCTTCTCTGCTGCATGGTAAACTTAATTTTTGTACCTGTTGGTAATGCAGAATTATGTATATAATAGTACACTGACAGTAATCTGTAATTTAAAAAAAAACCCAACAAAACACACTATACTGTTTATGGTCTCATATTTAAACTTAAACATTGTTAAAAGTAGCTTTTGCTAAGCTTACTTTATCACTAATAAAACTTTTTTATATTGCAGGGAAATGAGGCAAGCTATCCTTTGGAAATGTGCTCACACTGTAAGTCGATTCTTTTTTTAAGTTTCAGCTCGGTGTGTGTGTGTGTGTGTGTGTGTGAGAGAGAGAGAGTCTGACTGAAGTGTAGTAGTGTCAGTCCCAGGATATTAGAGAGACAAGGGGGTGAGGTAATATCTTTTATGCTCCTTTTCTCACCAACAGAATTTGGTGCAATAAAAGATATTACCTCACCCACCTTGACTGACTGATTTTTCCCTTGTGTGGAAAGCTTGATAAAGCCTTTCCTTCTGATTCTTTGTTTGCTCATATTTTGTCTTAAAAGTAGGTTGTAAGCTATTCAGGGCGGGTACTCTGTGCTTGTACAGTGCCAATTGTAATAGAACGCCTATCGTGACCATAATACACATGCTAAATAATAATAATTTGGCTGGTCAAGATAACCAAGCATAGAGAAATTATTTTCCAATTACATTTTGCGCTAAGTGAAAAATGACTTTAAAAAAAGGCCTATATGCTAGTGTCTTTAACATGTTACAAGAAATACTTCAAGTGGTAGTACTCATATCTTCCACTCAGGCTTGTGTCCCCCAGCCTAGCAATACCCATAGGGGCTGTGCTCACGCCCTCTGGCCTCTTAGCCACACCCATGCTTATTTAAGGGCAGTGCTGCCCAACCCCATCAGTTGCTTCTCATTGCCCATGGCTTGAGTTGGAGTGCTCAGTGCAGTTTTTATGTAATGTTTTGTTTCACAGTGTCATCTGTGATATTTATTTTTCCTGCGTAGAGGAGTTAGTTGCAGTTGATTTAGGTTTAGTTAGTTAGGATTTGCCTGGTGTGATGCCCCCACTGGTGTTTAAACACTGCCCGTCGTGTGGAGTAATTATCCCCAGTAGTGATCCCCACACTCTCACTGTTTGTTTGTCTCTTTGGGAAGGGCACATTAAAGAAAGGTGCTTCAACTGCACGTTGTTCAAGAAGAGAATTTGGTGGCCAGAGACTTGCACTTGAAGCAGTATCTACTGAAGCAGGCCATGAGGTCTTTTGTTGGCACTGGGGACCTCCATAGATCATCAGGCCCCTCAGAAGGCATCTGAGCCAGCAAAGGTGGTGGTTTGGGTAGTTTTGGATTCCTCTTCTAGGAGGAAGAGAGACAGTTCTCCTTCCTCTGGTCCTTCTAGGAAAAAGGTCTCCTACAATGGACTGGGGCCATTCCCAAGCTAAGAGAGATTCCTCCTCTCCTTCTAAGGTGAGTGCAGACCAGCACTGTGATTGATCTGATACATGAGCTAGAATAGGGCCAGTGAGTGAGTGAGGTGAGAGTAAGTGGGCTCAGTATCGTTCCCTCTTGTACCACTTGTGGGACTTCTGTTGAGTTTGGAACCAACGACATTGGTGTGGGCACCAACTGTTCCCATGCAAGTAGCATATCGGGCAGCATTGGACGTGCTTCCCTATCTGTTCCTGACTCTGCACTAGTTCAGGAATGTTCAGTTGTGGTGGTTTCTTCTGTGTACCTGGCACTGTCTGGATTGGTTGCAGACTTGTTATTGTTGGCACTGTCTTCTGTGCCTTTTCCAGTTCAGGGTGCAGAGTTGATATCTCATGCATTTTTGGTACTGAGGGGCTTGTAAGTGCAGGTACTATCTTTGGTGCTGTGATGACTCTGGTGCGTGCTCCATCTGTGGGACTGATGCCGGCTTTGATTTCAGTACCAACATCTGCTCTGGTACCAAATGTAAGTGAGGCCGCTCCCTGTAAGTACTTAAAGTATTAACTGCTTTACCTTTGTTGGCACTGATACATCCTGCGTTCTGGACTTAAGATGAGGCTGGATACTTACTGGCCCTTCCAGGGGGAGGCTCCTCCATTGCCTGTGGACTACTTGGAAGGTTCTTCAGGGTTGGGCACAGAGATGTCTTCCTCCTCTCCGTCACCTTCTCGTTATCAGTTTTGAAAGTTATCAAGACCTTGTGGGGATCACCATTAGTACTCAGATCAGTACTGCTCCTATAGCAGGGATAGCTTGGAACCCCTGGGATGTTGTGCAATGGGTGAGGTCCTGATCCTCTCCTCAGTCCAGAATGAAGTCTCTTATTCTGCTGATAGCCTCTCCTCCTGAACCCTCCCACGCTGCAGCCACAGACGGGGGTTGTTGCTCTTGCTGAACTGGTTCAGCCTGAACCAGTGTTACAGGTACCACAGGAGATGCAATTGGCTCAGCTTCCTTCCTCCTCTTCATCACCGGACAACTCTGTGGTGCCAGATTTCTTCCTCCCCTGTACCTGAGAATTTTGAAAGGTGTCAGGACCTCCTAAGGTGCATGGCTTCAGCCTTGAGTGTATAGGGTGTTTGTTCAGGAGAACACTTAAAAGTTGCTGGATATTCTCCAGTCTTCAGCTTCAGGGAGAGTGGTTCTCTCCATAAATGAAGTGATCTTGGAACCTGGAATCTTGGAAGATGCTATGGAACACCCAGCATCCTTACCACCTACAGCGAGGTGTACTGATAAGACATACTGTGTGCCTATGCACCGTTTTGAGAGCTTGTTCTTGCATCCAGTGCCTTACTCTTGCCATAAAGGCAGTTAATGAGAGGTTAAGACAAGGGGGATATAAGGACACCAAAGGACAAGGACTCTAAAAAATGGGACTTTTGGGGAGGAAAAATTATTCAACCTCATCCTTACAAATCCGCATTACCAAAGTATGAGTCTGTAAATTGGGACACTGTGGCAAAAATTACAGATCATTTGCCAGAATCCTCCAGGGAAGAGTTTAAGATTTTTGTTGCAGAAGGCCATCTAGTGGTAAAGATGTCACAACAGTCAGCTTTGCACATGGTGGATGCTTCTAGAGCTATGGCCTCTGCTGTACCAGTGAGAAGGTCTTCATGACTGAAGAACTCCGATATAGCTCCCAATTTCCAACAGACCGTTGAGGACTGACTTACCTATTGATGGTAGATTTTGGTTTTTGGACAAAACTTACGAAATGCTACATTCCTTTAAGGACTTGTGAGCTACATTGCATTCATTTGATGTTTTTAACCTGGCAGTAAAGAGTCATCATTTCACGGGGCAACAGCAGCAATATGACTCTCAACAGCTCTTTCAGTTGAATTATCCCTCTAAACAGCAGGATTTCTCCAGAAAGGGAGACAAGTCATGTAGGAGAAGGTCTTGTGGTCCCAATTTCAACCAGTCAGCCGGTCCTTCATTAGTGTCATGCAAGCAGTGAACTGGATGGTCTCTCCGAGGTAGACATTCCAGTCATCAAGCTTTAAGTTATTTTCCTCTTGTTTGCGGACAAGCTGTCCCATTTCTACAGGGTTAGAGTCATTAACGACAGACAAGTGTTAATCACTATTGGACTGGGTTATGTCATTCAATTCCTGTTCGGTCCCCCTTCCCACCCTCCTACCCTCTCCCTTTCCAGAATCCACTCTCATGAGTCTCAGTGCCTACAGCAGGTTCAGGCTCTCTAGGCTTCGGGAACCATAGAGTAGGTTGTCTCCATTGTTTTAACAAGTACATCAAAAACAAGATTCTGCATGGTTACCCTAGCTCAGTGATACTCAGACCTCAGTGGTTCAGGAGCCAAATTAGCAATCAACATTACCCAAAAGAGCCACAGTAGTGTGAATTCATTGTTTCATTTACTATAGTACTATATTATTCTCACAGCAAATAAGTTAATAACTTAGTGCAAGTTGATAACTTAGTTGGTTAATAACGTAGCAAAAGCATCCTGATTGGTTAATAAATCAGTGTTTTAATATCATGTACTGCAAAGAACCACTTGTGGCTTATGAGCCTTAGTCCCTATCACTGCCTTCCCTGCATTGAATCACAATGACGGGTTTGCCACCAACTGTCTTCAGGACGCTTGCTTCTGTGTGTCGATTTTATCAAGGCACAAGAGGTTTCTGAGATTCGTGGTGACAGGTCACAATTATCAGTACATAGTACTTCCCTTTGCCCTGTCCTTTGTCTGTTTACCAAATGCATGATAATAGTAGCAGTGTGCTTCAGAAAAAAGAGGACTTCATGTCTTTCCATACCTGAACAATTTGTTAGTGAGGGACAAGTACAGAGACCAAGTAATCTGTCATGTCCAGTACACATTGCATCTCTTTTGATTGTCTGGGTCTAATTTTTGAACAAAGGGAGATCAGCATTAATACCAACATGTAAAATTAAGTTCATTGGGACCCGATTAGACTCTACACATTTGAGGCTGTTTCTGCTGAACAAACTATTTCAAGCAGTTCGTCGCCTGTGCTTGTCTCCATTCCCACCCTTCAACTACAATATGTGTGTGCCTGAGATTGCTAGGCCACATGAGGGCCTGCATTTATGTGGTGCAGCACGCGACTGGTTTGTCTCCCTCAATCTTCAGGACACTTACTCCCATGTGGCGATTTTCACAAGGCACAATAGGTTTCTGGACTGCTTGAAGTTGGTATATCAGCTGAACTGTTAGTCACTGAATGGCCTAGTGGGAGTGCCACCGCCCATCTTTGAGTCCTTAAAGAGGTAGACAGATCAGATCTATATGGGTCAGGGTGTTCCCTTTCCCCATCCTTCTCCAGTCAGGACCATAGGTACCCATGCCTCCATGATAGTTGGGAAGTGAATCTGAGGACACTGAAGGTTCAAGGTTTGTGGACAGAACAGGAAGCTTCCCTTTGTATCAATATCTTGAAGCTTTGAGCCATTTATAATGTGTGCAGAGCTTTTCAGGCACAGATAAATGACACAGTGGTACATATATTCACCAACATCATCTCCACAATGTATTATATGTAGGGCCCTACCAAATTCCCGGCCATTAAAAATATGTCAGACAGTGAAATCTGGTCTTTTGTGTACTTTTACCCTGTACTATACAGATTTCACAGGGGAGACCAGCATTTCTCAAATTGGGGATTCTGACCCAAAGGGGGGTTACATGGAGGCCACAAGGTTATTTTAAGGGGGTTACCACCCTGACTTATGCACTGCCTTCAGCGCTGGGTGGCTGGAGAGCAGCAGCTGTTGGCC